CTTTTTAACTCCTTTTTAATTTCTTTTTAATTTCTTTTTAATTCCTTTTTTTTCTTTTTTCCCTTTTGATTTCTCTTAATATTTTTTCTTTTATTTGGATTGTTTTTTCATTTGCCTTTTGTTAGCTATTTCTTTATCCCTTTATCACATATTTTTGTTTTTTGTTTTTTGATTTATTCATTTACTTCATTTGCTTCTTCATTTGTTTGTTTGTGTTCATTTGCTGTCAGTTAAAATTCGAATTTAGTTTATTGATTAATTTATTTATTTATTCATTTATTTATATTTATTTTAAGAAAATGAAAAACAAATGATCTTTTAACTATTCTTTCCTCCGTTCACTTGTTTCCCAATTTGCTTCTCTTTACTGTTTACCATTCATGTTTCAAAATTTAAAATTGATTTAAAACAATACCAAAAATTAGCTCTAAATAACATTTAAACTCAATTTCAAGTAATCTAAAGTATTCATAATACTAATAATTGCAGTAACAATAACAATAACAATAACAATAATAATTATGAATATGATTATAATTACAAATGAGATTATAATTATAAATAAGATTATAAATGTAATTATAATTATATTTATAAATAGATTTTTAATTATAAATATAATTATAAATACCAATATAATTATAATTGGAAATATAAATATAATTGGAATTATAAATATAATCATAATTATGAATATAAATATAATTATAACTACAATTATAAATATAATTATAATTGTAAATTCAATAATTGACTTTAGTTGCTGCTGCAAGTGCCCTCTTGCGGCAGGACACGGAGGGCGTGGACGCGGGCGAAAGGTGGCTGCCGTACATCATCGCCGCGTTTTTCCTTTCTTTTGTTTTTCCCCCCCTCGGCTGCTTCGCCTTTTGTCTTTCTTTGAGTCAGTGCCGCCCCTTTCCGGGTGTATGTACACCCCAGCTCCGTCGTTTCAAGCCCCTTTCTGGGGTGGATAACGAGGCGGACTCGAAATCCACTGGGCTCTGCCCGCGCAGGTTCGAATCCTGCAGCCGTCGGTTTTTCATGGGCTCGCTGCATTCAAAGACGGCGTCAGTTTTGATCTTGCAAAAGAGCGTCAAACGAGAGGTTTGGGTATAGAGTGAAACAAAAGCCCTGGAGAACTACGCTTGAGCAGCCAAGCGAGCAGCTGACCAATGGACGAGATGTGGGAGCACAGGACGTCACCTTCTTCCAAAACAATCGGTCAATTGCTCTGCACTCTGCATATACAAGAAAATATGTTGCGGTACCGGCAGCAGAAAGTCTCTCTCGCAAGAAACTGTGTGACGATTGCAGCTGGAAGGGCGCATGCTTCTGGGGGTCGGCGGCACTGTCATTGGACTTACGCACCATTTCACGAGGAGCGACACTTAATATTCGACATTGAAGTATATTTCTGATATGG